CACCATGAAAATAGCTCACCGGCCTGTAATGAGTAGGTAATAGATGATGACGCAGCGATAAGCGGTGAACTCCCATCTGGATCTTTGGAGGGAGTGACTTGGACCGCTGATGCAGACTCTTATTATGGGCTTGGCAGTGCTGGCTGGCAAGGTAACCGATCGTTACCCTGCCCTGGATGTAAAGGCTGGCATTATCCCTGATGTGTGCATGTGTGAGCGGGAGTGTGCACGTGGAGGTGGAGGGCGGGGCTGTCAAAATACACAGGTGGTCCTCAAGGAATCAGTGATTACAGAGCTTGAACGAAGCTCCGACACGAGGAACACTTTCCCTCTTTGCACTGCACACCTTACACTGCAGTGCAGGAACACTTGGTTTAATAGTGCAATTAGCACAAGACTGCTCTTCATCCACTAATGGATGCATGATGTCAAATGTGTCCAGGAGTAACCTCAGGTTATGTTACTGACTTTGAGATTTAAAGTGGCACGCTGCACATTTCACGCATTAAAGTGAGTGAGTTGACACGTCATGTGGAAACTGTTGTGTAACGTGTCCTGTGGCTCTGCAGGAGAAAACTAAATCCTGGATGACTTCTAAGATGGTGATGGAGTTTAGAAATCTTTGTATGTTCAACTGCATTGTGGGAAATGTAGGATCTGCCTCTGTTTTTGAGCTGGGCCCATATTCAAGGCTCATTGAGTAGGAATACAAGAGAGGAGCAACTAAAGCACCTAGTTACAGCGACAGGATATGACAAACATGCATCAACAGTGAGGCCCACAAAATAGGAATAAAAAAAAGGAATTGAAAAAGGAAGTCATTGAATTGTGGTAAGATTGATGATGGAGCAAGACACAGTGGCAATAATAACTGACACAGATTAATACGGATGTATAATAGTGGACTGGAAAGGAAAAGCCAAAATGATCTGAGTCCGACCATCCATCGCCACTAACTTTCTGTCAGGCACTGGGATATTTTACTTGTCGAATGCTTTTATTTTTAATCAGGAAATGTTTGGTTTGCAGTAGCAACAAATGAATACAGTTCTGATCCAGCTGTGGGAGAGTGAACAATAAGCACTGAGGTTAGTATCAATGAGAAAAGAATGAAAACTAAGTAGTGTGCTGCATCATTCCCTGTGATTGTTACCACTTGAGGAAGTGAGGGCAATATTATAAATGGTGGATTTCTCCACAAACAATTAAAACCATTATAGTGACTTGATTACAGGGTTTGAATACATTAAATGCTGAAAACAATCCAGGCATAAATAGTATCAAACAAGGTTTATGAATGAGACAGTAGCGTAGCATCACAGCACCACTTATGTGTGATTCATTACTTTTCTTCTGGGTTGAGTTTGAAGGCCCTGTAGCCACAGATCTGTAAAGAACCTCCACTTAACTGAGTATCATCACTCTGCCCTGCACCAGACTCTTTTTAATGGTGGTCGCGGTTCACAGTGATGTCAGTGATGTAATTCTTATGAGCAATATTTTCCAAAGCCATTAAGTAAGGTCTCATTAATGTGGCAGACTGGAACAAATGTTTCAGGTCTGGAAATGTTTTCAGGTCTGAAAGTTGTTGTTGTTGTCGCCGAAGGAGGTTTGCTTGTGCTTCGCTGCCATTAAACATTAAACAGAGGACAACAGCCTCTTTGCTCTTCCTCCTCACCAACTCTGTGGTAATGATGCAGGGTTTTGAAACACAAGCTTGGATTTCTTAATGCAATTTCATCCAATTATATTCCCATTAAAATCCCCCAAATGATTTGGAATGATGCTCGGGAACAAAAACGTTATTGCAGCTATTTCAAATCACTAAATAAGCAAAAAGAAATAACACTGCTGACAAAATCCATCAGAGGATTATTCAGAGGAATCGTTTTGGAGAGCTCGGAGAAATGCATTAATGGATGTGAGAAGCAGGGAGGGCTGATCACTTGTGCAGATGGTTTTGGTGAAAAGATGCTCCAGATGCCTGGATGACCCACATACAGTAACCGCGTTGCATTAATAATTACAGGCTAACTACTTGAGGATTTTGGGGTTTCTTTATATATAAGTATTTTTGGCTCAGAATGCTTTCAAACCTACAAAGTCTGTGGATAAAACTGTGGCCGAGATACATTCACACGCAGCCAACACACACCCCGTTACTCTCAGGCCTGTGGTCTCGTGTCCAGTGGGGTCAGCCTTGCTTCTGTTTTTAGATACTGCTCATTAAAGTGAGAGAACACAACAACCACATGAGGGTTAACTACCAGTGTCCGAGCGTGAGGAATGTGTATTGTTTTTTAGGGAAAGAGGAGCTGAGGAGAGATTTATAATAGTGGCACTCACCTTTTGCCAACATGTCTTGGTTCAGACTTCTAGAAAAAATAAAGTATGACGGAAATTCTTTTACAGCCAGTAATTTTGCAGTTTTAGACAGAGGGCGTGGTAATCACCTCTCCTTGGATCGTTCATGTACATACTCTGGCTCAACAACAGCCACTGGCAACTGCGGCCAATGCCAGCAACGGTGAGAGAGCATCTGTCTTTATGTGCTGCCCAGAAAAAGTGCAAAAATCCATTACATGTGTAATAAATGGGAACTGAGACATCAATCACTCAGAGGCTCTTTAACAATTCCACATGACAGGTAAATACAAGCCTGTAGGCCTGTAAACACCTGCTCCACTGCTTTCATGAGCATTTTGTGAATAAAGGTATTTCTAACTTTCTTTTATATTCACTCAAGCCGAGGATCTTGAAGAAAAGATAATATTTCAAATCTTCATTCATGCAATTTGCAGAATAAACACCTGGCTAATCCAGTTTCAGACAAAGCCTATTAATAGAGGTAACTCAGATGGGCGGGAGTCGATCAATTACCTAAAAATAACTGAGGAATACGTTTCTCATCTTCGGCCAACAAAGAGTCCATTCAGCTGGAGGTCAGTGTGCACGGCTCAACTGTTTGACTTTCACCTGTGTTATGTCTGCGAGTGACTTATTAAAAGAGACACATGGTCCTGGTGCGTTCAGTGACAAGAGCCAGGACCTGAATAGAAAAACAGAAAATAAAACAAGCTCCGTCGTCAAGGAAGAAAATGTTCCAGAGTGAAGAGCCGGGTTCTTATCCCTGTATGCTCAAATACAGTATTTTAAACTTTTACTGTCAAGTTGTATAACATATGCTTTTCCTTTTTTTCTCTTTTTCTATGGTTACTTATTTGTCTTTTTGTTACAAATGCGCTTTTTTCTTTTTAATCATTTATTTACTATTGAGATATGAATGCTGAACTCTGCTAAAAGTGGATTCTACCCATGACAGTTATAACTCACTTCGTGGGACTGTTGAGCCTTGATGAAAGTATGCGCTCTACTGAGTGTCACACTCTGTTATTTAAAGGGGCTGTTTAACATAGACAGTTATGCTGAAACCAACCAAAAACTATCTGCATGGCTTTATAGCACCATCTTGTATCTGAGTGAAACCTACTTTGAAACGTTCTCAAAATGTATGAATCTGACCACAGGAAATACTGCAAATTCTGCTCTAAAGATAAAAATGTGAGGTCTTTACGCCACATCATCTACACATTGACCATGTATTTATTTTCATCTGAAGCCGATGAAGACTTACTTCCTTCTTTGCAGCCACAACAGTTTGAGTTCTGGCATCAGACACTAGTCACCACCCACCGAGCCACAGTCGCCTTTTTTGTTCTTCCCAGGGCAGCAAAAACTGTCGAGTTCAGGCTGACGCACAGTTTAGCAACGTTCCTGTGTACTCCCTCAAAGCATATTTATCTGTCTGTAATGACTCTGCTCCTTACACACACACACACACACACA